CCCCCCCTTCTGACACAGTTATTATCAAATGTGCGCTTTTGTGGGGGGTGAGACGTGCCTTCCTTTGAAGATGTTCTGCAATAGTTTAATGAATGCAAACCCAATATATTCTATTACTATTTCAAATTAAGTAAGTCACAGCCTGCAGGTACTATTTAATATCATCAGTTGCTGCTCATCTGGTATGAGTGGAATTCTGTTTTTTCTCTCTGTTAAAGCTGAAGTGGTGTCATGTTCACTGACATTCCCACTTTTATCTTTATTTAGGTGATGAATGCATTTCGTGGCTTGAACATTTTGAGGCTGACGAGACACCAAAAATGCCCTCCCCCCACCCATGTACTGTAGACCGAGTCAACAAGCAGCACTGGAAACAATGCAAAGTGCCGGTATGGGTATGTGCTTTTACTCACCCGGGTCTGAGCTCGTGCATCACCAGCTTTTGCTTTCTCCTCCAGCTGCTCCACACTCAGCTCCTCTTCTGGCTCTTCATCTGTCAAAACACAAGAGAGTACGCCTATCAATAAAAATATCAGTCCAGCAAATACTTATTTTTTAATCAATGCGCTAACCCATATCCTATATTTATTACATAAATATACATATTCCGACCACCCTTCATTGTTTTAATCCGTCAGTTGCAAATATGTGTTCAACTAAGACTTGATAGACGATCTCTAAACAAATTAAGAAAAGCTTCATTATGCGGAAGAGTTCAAGGATTTCTCAATTACCATTAGAGTCAAATGGCTCCAAAAAGAAGTCAAAATCACCAAACCTCCACAGTGTGTATAAGGCTCTTCTGTTGGCTTGTGTTCACTTTTAACCAAATGTGGTACTATGTATTATGGTCAAACCAACAGTGCTTCCAAATGAAATGATAATCTATACTTTATTGTACAGATCGTTGAGGCATTCCACTGCTAGAAGACAGAATAAAAACACGCTATTCTGATCTTCTATATAAGAAATCAATGGCCTTGGCATTGAGTAACATGAGATCAGTGTAGAAATGCTTCATTACTTTACTTTACATCATATTTTTAGTCACTTAAAGATTTTTTTAACATTGGAATTTTCTTTAGTTTTAGAAAACCTGAATGTGGTCTAGGCTGAAATGCAATCTTTTTACAAAGTGACTATCACCTTTGTGGACACCATTTTGCTGGTTGGTGTTGGTTACAGGAACAACACATGGTGGCTTTTTATAAAGGTTTTATTAGTTAGTGAAGGTAAGATTTAAGAACTGCTTTTTCGTCGGATTAGAGAACGAGCAGAAAATATTCTTTGAACAATGCAACTGTAACTGTTACCATTTTTACCTTAGTTTTCTAAACCTTAATACCAATATACCTAAAGTTCTGATGAATATATGCATGTAGCCTCTATGAGGATGGGGACAGATTAATCAGAATCAGAATCAGAATCAGAATCAGAAATACTTTAATAATCCCAGAGGGATAACATCCATCAGTGGGATCATTGTTGATTTTTTTAATTGATTAGTTTTTTCCCCCCGTAATTTAATTGATACAAATGTGAAGCCTCAGCCTTACTTCTGTTATGTATGAGTAATAATTTGGTGATGATTCATTAATCTGACATATAGAGAAGTAAGAACGCATTGCTTAGTTAATTCACACCCTGAGGCTAAATTTTGACTTAGCTTTCTGCTGAATATATAATGACATGACCTGGTTTAGTGTTTATCTGTTGTTATATTTTCGATGGCCAAACGGTTTTGTTAAGGACGACATTATATTCTGCTTTGTAAAATCTGAAAGCAGTAAAACTTTGTTCCTCACATAACTGGAGAAGAAAGACAACTGAATGCTCCTCTTCAAACATCCCACCTGACACATGTCTTGTACTGAAACTCAAGCCGAGCAAAAGTGTCATAGGAGTCATAGATGTGAACACATGTGTGCTTCTGACATGTCTCCATGCGCCTTCCTATAAAGGAATTCTTTGAGACGACCCCAGACGCCAAGCAACACCAGGCCAGGCTCCGATGTCAAGCCAAAACTCGGTGATGACATAAAGCTTTGAGACGATTTCTGTCTCCAGTGTCCTTTAAGCAAAAAGGTTCAACCTCCTCCCTTCAAATGTCAGCGTTTCCCATGTACAGCAGTCTCAGCAGCAGTTGTAGCTCTCGCTTACAGTAGTTAAAGATTATAAAGACCACGAATTGAAAAACTGAATCACCCCAATTACTCTAATGGCTAGATAGAAAAGAAATATGGCCATGTAAGCAATATGGAAAAAACATGATCAGAACAGTAAATAATAGTTGATTCCAACTGACAGCAATACTGACATTTTTCTGGTATATTACTAAGACTTAAAGGGAATACTAACATAAATGTGCACAGATTTTTTTCATGCACAGGTTTTGTGCATAAATTCATACGAATTCATACATGTTAATCTTTGTTTATATCCATACCATGAAAGCTGCTCAGTAATAGCCACTCATTATTTTACTCCCTTTTAGAGGCTGGATCTTTTGATTGGAATTTGTCATTTAATGCAGCAGATGCAGCTGAGCAATGACCAATAAATGAACTGTTGCTGAAAAATTGCTCGTGTGAATGACAATGCTTCATGTTATATATTATATAAGAATATCCTCAGAGCTGATTTGTCAAAGAGAAATCATCAAATCGTAAGCATAAGACATAAATAAGGTGTGAGACTGTGTTTTACCAACTTGAGGCAATACAACGCATGACCCACATCATGATTACACCAAAATGATGGCTCAGTACTAGCTGGCACGGAAGATATAATTAATATGCTGTGGATAATAATGACAGCCAGTGCCTCGATTTGAAGGTTACAGATTTAAAGAGGTTCCACATTTTGTCCGGATGTAGTTTCATCAGCTTTAGACAAAAACGTGGGACAGATATATGATATCAGGCTGACTTTGGCTTAGCTGAGCCCTTCACACCGAAACCAGAGGCGTGAATTCATTCGTACTTATGTGGTATTTCGGCTAAAATGTTCTTCACCCATTTACTAAACCCACTTACTCCAAGTGTGGCTACGAGTCAGCTGTCAATGGAGCAGTTTATCACATGGCTCCACAGATTTGTCCGAGGGAAATAAACATGCACACTCAAACTCAGTCCTGTGATTAATTTGGAGTCGTCAAGTAACCTCCAGCTCCATGCACAAATCAATCTATAAAAATTGTACGGCAGCAGTTGACACATTTAATTCAAAATCACAAACCCTCTGCTTATGGTCAAACAGCCAGGTATCACCCAAAGACAAATGACCTGTGGAATAAGAATTTGTAATGCTAAAACCCAACAGTTTCTCTGACAAGAAATACTATGAAGCTGAAACAGAAGCAAAGTTCCAAACTTGCAGAATTAGCTGCGGGTATGAAAACTGAAAGGTCACATTTCTGTGAAAGTTTTGCGCCTCATTTTCTATTTCTACTTACGCCGTGTTGTATTCAGGGATTATCTGTGCTATTTACCTGAAGACAATGCAGCCACCAACATATTATGTCCATTTTGTCCACGTTAAATTAATCCAAATAGTTTAAATCATTCTCTGGCCCATGATGTTCATATTGCTCTGCTCCATGTAAAAGACACCTGAATGTGGAGCATCAGGTTCACCACCACCGCAAAGCAGCATTAACTTTCAACGTGTCATGCTCTCTTTCACTCAAAATGAAGGCATTCTCACCTTCGTCATCTTCATTGGCATCCTCCTCCTCTGCTTTTCTCAGTCTTTCCTGAATTATCACCCGCTTGGCCACCGAAGCGAAGGTGCGTCTTTTGGAGGCGAGTGAATCGGCGGTGGGGGAAGAAGGGGAGCCCGTCTGGGCATCCGATTCTGAGCTTAGTGACGGGGAGGACGCAGATCTGAGCTTGGAAAAGGAAGAGGTTTTGGACAGAGGAGGTTTTGAGACGTTTGAAGATGCACCGCACGCAGCCTGGTTTGGTGGAGGGGTGGGGGGTTTGGAGGAAACCTCGGGGGATTTGGCCTCAGACTTATCTAGAGATGGCAGATTGTCTGTCGGTTCAGATATGGTCTGTGTGGAAGGCGGAGAGGAATCTTGTAATATTCCAGGATCAAATGAAGATTGTGATTTGTCATGCTGAGGCAGAGCAACAGAAGCGCTATTGGACCCCAGCGAAGGAGGAATTTCTCTGGCAGATGTACCAGTTTGTCCCTCCGGGATAGAACATGACTCTGGAGAGTTAGCAGTGGTAGGTGTTGATGGCAAATTCTTCTCCATCTCTTCTGAAATAAAAAAAGGGGTGAGAGTAACTTTAGGTATAGTTATCAAGATCTTAAGGGCTGAAGTAAGCAGTCAATTCGATATTAGAGATCATTAGAATTTTTTTTAATCCAAAGCATTTGACAGACAAAGCATTCTGAAAAGTGACCAAATTTATATATATTTTCTTTTTTTAAACTTTTTCTGAATTATTATTACTTTTGCAATGGTATCAAATTAACAAAAGTGTGGCAAACAACTATTATTTAATAAATCTCCTTTCACTGAAAAGCATGACATAGAAATCTGGGCAAACCGATGCACCCACGCGCACAGACACAGCATTAAGTGCCCTGGGTCTATGAATTTAACGGAACTTAAATTACAGTCATAAATATAAATACTACTGATAATAAGAAGGAGAAAATAAAAACAACCTTACTTGAGCTCTAAATGAGCGGAGTTGTTCTGGACAGTCCTCCCACTCCTCCACCTGCAGACTTATAAAAGTGGAGTTCAGTCTGCAGGCAACTCCAGGAAACCAGAGACTCACACTTGCAGCAGTCCAACTCTGGTCTATAAAGGACGCCACAACTTTTTGGACCGCCTTCTTAAAATACCGGTTATGCTGCCGGTTATAGGCTATAATAAACGCCCGTCAAAGCAGAAGCTTATCTGATTGGTCAGTGGCTCGCGTTTGCTTTACATATCACAGCATAGGAACACAGAAAAAATATTATTTTAAAGGTTTGAAATGGACGGGATTCACACTTACATGAACTATTTTGCGCTTTTATCATGTGAGAAAAATAAAAGTCAACAATGCAGAGGCAATGTGAAAAGACTAAGAATACCCCTAGCGCCTCCATGAGAGTGAAAATGATATGCAGGCAGGTGCCGCGGATAAAGTTTCCCTGATAAATTGACCCTCATTAAGTCAGATTACCGCGTCATTCAAGGCAGGGTGTTTGGACAGTTTACTATTTTGGCGCATTGGAATGTGCGTTGATACTATAATTTTCAAAACATAAAAACAAAAAGTAAATAAAACTCTTGGAAGGATATTCAATAATGAATAAGCAATGTTAGGTTTTTAAAGGTGCAAGAATGCTTCTAAAACTATATTCACTGGATAGGCAATAAAGTATGGGTACATTATGCGCAACACGGCAACTTGGCTGTGGGTGAACCTGAAAAAGTTACGAAATCTTTGAAGCAATGTCTCTTTTTTATTCGAGGCAAATGACAAAAAAAAAAGAGAGAGAGAGACTGAGACCGAAATAGCTTTTTTAAATAGTTGATGAAAGGAACGGGGTATCTTTGTAAGGAGATTATAAGGTTCCAGGTCAAAATCTATGTTGGCCTAGATACAACTGGAGTGACAACTGAACATTGAAATGTTGGGAAACACTATGAAACACTTCTGCCGAATGAATTTATTAAAAAAGACAAAAAGAGGTGATCAAGTCACGTTGCTACTGTCAGCGCTTTGTGTTAAACTTTCTCAAGGTTTATACTAAACTAAGATATCTGGTTCAGCATTTGGTCCTCTTTTCACACTGGACTGCTGCCTTTACTTTCAATAACGTTCATGATTTCACTCACAGGATTTGTTTTTTTTTGCCTCCAAATATCTCAATAGAAGTGTTATTATATGTTTGTTATTGTGCTCTGTTGGCGCTTTCCATCAGGCACTAAAATACATCAGCAGCCCATCAGCCTCTTTGACTTTTGCTGGAATACTTAAAAAGAGATAAGCCACGAAGTCTATAGACACCCCCTCCCCATGCACCCAGATGTGGGTTAAACACGGGACATGCTGTTTTAATCCGCGGATGGAATGAGCCGCTCACGCAAACAAAGAAAGCAGGATTGCTCTGATTTCGACTGTTTGTGAAAACTACAATTCAATCTCAATTCTGAGACTGCTACACTTTGAATATAGTTCACGGAGCAGATCTTTCCAAACTGGAACATTGCATCAGAGGAGGAGAGAGAGGAGCCACTTCTCACACTTCACAGCATCGCCGGAGTGCGCTTGCCCGGAGAGGCGTGACTGTGACCCGATTTGACGCGAAACAAGCAAAACTGTCAGTGCCGCCTCAGACCGGGAGAAGTTCGAAACCTCCCCTGCATGCGGAAGCCGAGATGTCTGACTGCAGGAGGCAGTGGAACCGGGAGGACGAGCTCCCGGTCTACCTGGCGGGCCCCATCACCACCGGGCCCAACCAGCGCAAAACCTACGGGATGTTCAGCTCCGTGGAGGGAGCGTTCGACAGCAAGACCATAGACTTCGACAACTACGCCGTGGGGAGGAAAGGGAGCCGCACTCCGAGGAGCGGGAGTCGGGAGAGGCTCCTGGACGCCGGTGACCCCGCGGGGAAGACCCCTGGCGACGCCCGAGAGGAGTCACTGCCCAACTCTCCCGGAGAGACGCAAGATGCGCAACGAGGTGTGGAGGTCTCAGTTTCATCGGGAAAGGAAAGCCCAGATGGACAGGTATCGCCACGATTCACGCCCTGGCTCTGTGGCCTAGATTTTGTTTTTGTTTTTTATGGCTGTCTTTATAAGCAAACTACGGCAGAAAACGCAGGCTTATTTTGAAAAGAAATGGTCGGAGCTACATATTGTGAGCGTATTTTCAGACAATATCAGTGAGCAGTGATAATGACAATAATTCCTTTTATACAAGATCCAGTACAATGCCTCCGTCTGTATAAATGATTAACTTGTGGTGCACTGCAGTTTGGTTATTTTTGGTGTGTGTAGTTTGTGCGTGTGCATGCGGACGGAGCTCATACGGAAAAAAAAAGACGCACTGAGATGCCAAATAGTTGTGTGGTGCTGAAGTGGACAGCGACAGACAGCATCCTCCGCTGTTGTGTTTTTGTTCTCTCTCGTGCGTGAGGCATTTTTTGCGCGCGCGCGTGCGGTTTCACGCGTGCACACTTGGTAGACACAGTTTATCCTCAGCCGACGTCGCCAACGCCACTGGGCAAACGCTTTCTTTTTTCTGCACGCATGCACGCACGCGCACGCACGGTGTCGTCGTACCGCCTGTCGCCTGAACGCGTCACGCAATCCGACGCAGCCTGTACGGCGGCGGATTCATCGCCCTCATATCTGCCACACCGAGATAAAAAACGAGTCGCGTCTATAGAGGGGGGGCAGACAGCTAAAGAGCGCATCACGGGGCCCCGGATCTGACTGCCAGGGGGGGGGGGCAGAGAGACAGAGAGAGCATGTCTGAGACCGGTCACCAGGGGAATAACAGCATCCCCCACCTGACGGTAAGGGGACCCGCTCTGATCTGAAGCGAGCAGTTTCTGGAGAGGCTCTCTTGTATATATGCAAATCCCCCGCTGCAAGTCTGAAAATGGGATTAAATTCTTAGTGAATGGCAAAGAGCAGACGGTCCCTTTTAAATGTAGCGTGCGGTTTCTTTTGTGGGACTGCAGCGACAAAGATATGACAGTCTTCTGTCAACGTTGTGTCTCCGTGTTGGATTGTGTTGCGTAATCCGTAGTCGCCTGTCAGTGGGATTAGTTCAGTGTGCGTGACGGTCGAAAGTGCTAACGCCTGCATATAGAAACAAGCTTGATTTGTTTTCAAAGACGTATACTTTTTATTTATCAATCATTTCATTTCGATCAATGCATGATTTATGATTCTTTTTGGCACAGCTGTCATGCATACATTGACGTTTCTTGAGCATTCAAGGTGCACACAATTCAGTGGGCTGTCAGCTGCCATCATGTGGAAACCATGGGATATCAGTTACCATGGAGACATACCATCTTCTCAATGCTGTTGCCAGGCACCCTCCATGCAGAGGGTGTGGACACAGTAGTCAGAGAAAAAGATGCTTATTATTACACTGGAATCTAAATCATTCTGAGATTGACCATATACTGTACGTGGGAACCGTATTTTGAAATGCGAAACCAAAAATCAAATAAAAATAATTTGATTCCACCAAGGCACAGCACTTGAGTGACATGCAATGTGTTCCTCCTCCACCGAGGTTATAAGATCGTGCTGTATATCATAATTCTACCCCCCAGTTTACTCCTCTTCTTCCTTCCTGTCTTATTCTCCTGCAGGGTGAAAGACTTCTGATCAAAGGAGGCAGAGTGGTGAATGATGACCAGTCTTTCTACGCAGACGTCTACATTGAGGATGGGCTCATCAAGTGCGTTTGGAACCATCCATCCATCCATCCATTATCAATACCGCTTATTCCCTGTTGGGGTCGCGGGGGGAACTGGAGCCTATCCCAGTGGTCAACGGGCGAGAGGCAGGGTACACCCTGGACAGTCCGCCAGTCCATCGCAGGGCCTTATTTGCAAAAGTCTTCAGAAACCAATCAAAACCTGTTACAAAATAGAAAATATATGCAGTATATATGTGAACATGAAATACAATAATTTCTGATGAGTTCAGAAGTCCACACTTTGTAAAACTGCCCTTATTCTTCAACAAGGCCAGAATTCTCCTCGACAAGAGTTGTTGTAATTGCTATAGATAATCTTCAGAAAGAGTTCTCCAGGTTTATTGAAAGACATCCCAAAAATTGGTGTAAAGGCTGCAAGTATATAAAACAATTTGAACAACAAACTGTAAAGAAATGAAGGGTGGCTTCGGGCAATAGCTCCATACTGTATGCCATGCTACAAAGGTGTTTATGCACATTGTTTAAATGCTGAGACTCAATAACTGGATCCTTTCATGCACATTCATATTTGACATCTTTCATCATTTCAGTACCTGCTCTGACATTGTCTTCTCTTTGATCTAATCCTTGGCAGGCAGGTGGGGGAGAACCTGGTTGTTCCAGGAGGCATTAAGGTGATCGAGGCCAATGGCCGCATGGTGATACCAGGGGGGATAGATGTCAACACTTGCCTGATGAAGCCTTACCTGGGAATCCAGCCTGTCGACGACTTCCTCCAGGGCACGAAGGCTGCACTGGCAGGAGGAACGACTATGATCCGTGAGTGTGGACGCAGAAGGAGAATAACGTGTGTGATTACGCGTTGCATCCTAAACCTCTTTCCCTTCTAACCATCCCAGTTGATCACGTGACCCCTCAGCCTGGGGACAGTCTCTTAGAGGCCTTTGAGCGCTGGCAGGAGGCCGCAGATAAAAAGGCGTGCTGCGATTATTCCCTGCACGTTGATATCCCCCACTGGGACGAGACTGTCAAAGACGAGTTGGAGCTGCTGGTGCAGGACAAAGGTAGACTCCACGGAGATGTATTCAATTGTTGTAATACCTCCAGTAAAGACACAAATTAGAATAACATGAGGGGACACAGTAGCTTGTAAGTAGCTTGGCCAAGTTCTGAATTCTCTTACTGGTGAATTGCTGTAAGGATCCATTGTTTCCATTATAATGGCGCACAATTCTTACTTGTAATATTCTTTAAAATGACACAGACAATCTTGCTGTTGGAGTAGCTCAAACATGAAACGATGGCAGTCGTCGTCATGCGTTGCTTTGTAATTCACGATGAGATTGTTTGTGAGTTGAGGTAGT